GCCGGCGGCCCCGGGGACCTGCACAGCCAGCCGCAGCGCCTCGGCCGGGCGCTGTGGTACGCGCGCCTGGCCCACCATTCGCACAGGTGCGGGACTACAACTCCCGGCATGCTTCGAGCCAGGCCCCAGCCCTCTGTCTCTGGGCGAGCGCGTGGAGCATTCTGGGAGTCGTAGTCTGTGACGGGCACGCAATGCATGCTGGGACATGTAGGCTCCATGGCTGCGTTCACACTGGTCTTTTCCTGATCCTGATAAATCCGGAGCGCACACCTGGTGGTGGCAGCCTGTAGGGGCTGCTGGAAGCAGATTCAGGGGTGCTTGCAGCAGCTTTGGCTGGTTCATCCTTTGCCTTTCTGCCCTTGGTCTCGCAGGCACTGCTGCAGGTGCAGGGGACTGGGTGTGAGGGTCCAGAGATGCTTATCTGCCTTGGGTAGGGTCACCAGTTTGATGGGAGGGCTGCTATTCCTGGAGGCTCTGTCACCTAATATAAAAATTAATCTTCAAGCAAAGAGCATGTCCTGGCAAATGCAGGACAGTCGCATACCCAAAAGAGCCCAGTTGGGTGGGCTATGACTTTGGGTGGGTGGGTGTCAGCCCCACACCATGGCATCTCTCCCCAGCCAGAACTCTGAGCAGTGAGGTGTTGGAGCGCCGGCAGAGCGGGGTCAGCGCCCATGTCCCAGCCCCCCTTCCTGGCTGGAGTGCTGAGTGGCATGGGGTCCGCTACCACATCCTAGCCACGCTCACAGGTTGGAGCGTCAGCAGCTCAGGACTAACTACTAACTACTGCACACCAGCCCCACTCCTGGCCAGAGTGCCAGGCACAGCAGGGGCTGCCCAGACTACCCAACCTGCGGGGGTGGGCCTGCATGAAAAAATGGATGGGCCACAACCCTCTCAGGGCCACCTGTGGCTACGCCACTACTCTAGGACAAACTTTCAGAGTTGGTATCTATAACTCTGAGTAGTAAGTGAACCTGTGTACCTGCTTTGCTGTCCAGAGCTGGATTAAAGAGGATGGAGCAGAGGCAGAGAGAGAGGGGGTGGGGTTTAATGTTGTTCAGTATAAGTCATCTTGCATGGCAAGAAAATGTGCCCCTGTTGTCTGGAATGCTGAAACTTGAGCCAATTTTGTTTTAGTAGCAGTTGCTTTAGCGAGGGATATGTAACTTGGATCTTCCGCCCCACTCCCCGCCCCAGTCCTGTGTGCTAACATGTTCTTTGATTGTGTGTCGTGGCAGGACTGCTTTTAACAACAACGTCAGCATGGCTTATGAGTGCCTGAGTGCCAGGGGCAGAAGGAAGAAGTCAGGTGTCAATGGAAGACTCTACAGTGAGTTGCTCAAGAAGATCTGCCAAGATGGAGAAGCCCCTGAAGAGGTTGTTTCTTCTTTGCTGAGGAAGATCCAGTGTCGGGACCACGAGGCAGTACCTTTTGATGTCTTCCGCTATGGAGTACTCAGCTGTTTTGTGCTTCTGGAGTTTGTGGCAAAAGCTGATACCTTATACGACGTACTGGATGATGGCTCTGGCATAGCAGATGAAAGTGTTTGCCAGGCAGTCCTGGACACTCTGGAAGAAGCTCTCGGAGCCACCGACTTCTCGGTACCCATCCGTTACTTGGAGGCTGGATCTAAGCTTGGACCAGACTGTTTGGCTTTGGCCATGGACAAAGCATTGCTAGACAGGAAGATTTGCTCCTCCATGAACAGGGAAGAGTTTCTAAAGAGAGCCACAGCCCTATTCATTGCAAAAGTAAAACCTATTGACTGACACCTTGCAGTTGGGACAACACTCGCTGTGTTTTCCTATGACTTCAAATGAAGCACGTTACCCTGGGAATACATCAAATCCTGCGACTTTGGGTGGCCAGAGTAGGCCACAGAGGGAGCAAAGTGGGCCTGCCAGTTCCTATCCTAAAGGATAGGATCTACTTGACTAAAGAATGCTTATCTTAAATTTCTCATTCACCTCCTGGCTCCATCCTGAACACCTAAATGCCAACCAACTGTAGCATTTGATCTGCTGGCTTGTATATCAGAACTTGTATATAAGAACCTCCTATTTAAAATGCCTGTTTATTTTCTACAGCTATTGTAAACCTCTGCTGAGGTTATAGCTTGGGGAACATCCAGGAAACCAGCTAAAAGTGAGGCCTTATAGCCTGAGCACATTACTAGAAGTTAGGGACTACTGAGCTGTTGTCCTGGCTTTGCTACTGATATATTTTGTGATTTTTTTTTTTTTTTTTGGACAAATCACTTAAGTTGTGTATTCCCTGTCTTTAAAATGGGAGTAATACGTACCTCAGAGAGTTGTGGTGAGGTATAACAAATAAATGCAGCTTTGGGAGGATCTAAAGTGCTATTTAAGTATTGTTAGTAATGTGAAGTAATACATTAAATACACAAGATGATGCACATCTGGCAAGAATTGAGATTTCAGCAAAAACACTTGCTAGTTCTGCATTTGGCCAGTGGCTGAATTTCAGACACCTGTATTAGCATTAAACTATTCTGGGGTTTTTCATCATATCACAGTTTACTAAACTGCATCCTGTCACTTGAACTTTCACAAGCAGAGATCGTACATGACTAGTAAGCTATACAGCAAAATTGGTATTATACAGATTTGCTAGTAAGTCTGGAATTTGAGCAAAACCAGGCTAAATTCTAATTCCCTTATGCTAATATACCTTGCTATGTTTACTTAGCCCTTCAACTATTGTTGTTGGTTGGACCATACCATATCTATTTGTGAGTTTAGAACTATGATTATTCATGTCATTCAATTATTGGTGTATTAGAGGCCATTAAACTGTTTAATCTCTGTTAGTTTTGCTATACACATTTTTATTCTATGGTAGCCTTTATTGCTAACAGTGCTACATTTTATAGCTTTCTCTAGGTGCCCCCTGTGTGAATTAAAAAAATATCCCTGTGTTGTAGGAAAGGGCAGCAGGGGGAGAAATAAAGGGAGACTTTGAAAATAGGCTTCTAATTTCGGGTGCTCAATGTTTAACATCTCGGGCATCATTTTTTTCAGAGATGCTAAGCACCAGCAATTCCAACAGGAGCTCTGCAAATCAGGCTTTTTATCTTAGAATTTGGGCATCCAAAATTAGAGGCCACTTTTCTTGACTTGCATGCGATGCCTCAGGCCTATTTTCCAGTTGGGTTTACTGTTCTTCCTAGTGAAACAGAGTTATTGTGAGATGGGTGCCAGGAAGGTGGTGTGGTCTTTAGGAGATGTTTGTTTTGAGTTGTTCTCGCTGCATATTACAGAATTGTGAGCACTGGAGCTTATCTGCCTACCTTTTGTCAGAGTAAAAAGTAGGCCACTTGAAATATACACAAATCCTTCATCCATCAGACATGTTCCTTGTTTCAATGTGCTCAGTTGTGAGAAGAGCCTACTCTGAATATGGTACTGATATAGAACACATTGTTATGTAGCTGCTGTTTCCAAGAGATGCTTTGTCCTACTCTAATCCCTTTTATCCAAGGGATTTAGAAACATTGCTCAAGAATTTCAAAAGTGACCAGTGAATTTGGACACCCAAGAGAGCTGATTTTCAGGAAGTGCTGAGTTCCAGCCTCCTGAAAATCAGGATGAGACTCAAATTCTCTAGCTGTCTGCTAATCTTGGTCATTACACCTCACAATGAATGGTGAGAGAGTAGTTGTACAACATCCATTTTAATAGTTGGAGAAGCAGAGACCCTAGAATTCAAGTGACTTCCTTTAGGTACCCAAACAAAGTAGTATCAAATTCAGTAGGGTAGCACAAGCTTCTTGTCTCTCAGACTGTAGCAACTAAAATTAGCTGCAGTCTCATCAAGTTTTTTATATTCTTACGGTAGATAGATCTTAAAAGTAAATATCTACTGTGCTAGTCCTCCGTTGTGGACAATTTCCTATACTTAGAAAGTATACTTGAGCACTGAATTATACCCCCTCATAATACATTACGGTTAGACATTGAAATGTCATAATCCTAAACAATGGCTCCACTTAACTGACAAGTATATAATCCAGCACAACTGAAAACATTTGCTTTTGATAAACCCTGTCCTGCAGTAGAGTGACTGTATTACAAACAGCCAGGGAATATACAGAGCTATCGTCATCTATGTGATGTGAGTGGTGTTTTATTATCTTTTATCCAAATTCCCCACTGCTTTATCTATAAACTCTATACAGATAGGATGCCCCTGCCAATTAGTGAAATGCAGCCTGCTGTGGGACAGAATGGTCACAGTTCCTAATGACAGTTTAGGCCTTGGTAGTAAATAATTATCTAAAGATGTATTTGGCCAGACTGCTGTAGCGTCAACAAAAAAATGGGATGGAGGTCTCCAATAGCAACAGGTGCTCAATATCATGGTCTCACAGGGCAAGTGAAAGACGGTACTGCTAGTTTCAGGTACCCTTCTTGCCCTCTGGCATTGTGCACAGCCATTTGTTTCATAGATAAAGGGAGGAATGCTTCTTCATATGTGACACTAGGGATGTAAAATCCTGTTTAATTGGCTAATGAGTTAAATATATGTAACTAGTTAATTAAAAGGGAGGACTTGGGGGTGGAATGGCCACCCCGCTACAGGAAGGGGCTGCTCCACCCCAGCCAGGGCCTCCCCTGCCTGCCACAGACCCCCTGTGGGGCTAGAGCAGCCTTTGCCTGTGACAGGCAAGGAGCTGTTCCAGCCCCACCAGTTAGCCTCACCTGGTTAAACTTTCACATCCCTTCTTGACACCAGCATCACTTCCAGGTCCCGCCCCTGCAGGCCCTCATCTGCAGTGTGGGCAGCCCCTGTCTGCGTTAGCACAGGGGCGATGAGGTTCCCAGGCCTAGCTGACATGGCAGAGAGCAGCAGGCCCGGGGAGTGTGCTGGTGGAAGGCTGGTGCAGCCCAGAGGATGCTAAAGCCACTGAATTGCAGTCTATGCTAAATGGGGGTCGTACCTGCTGGGAGAGCAAGAAGCTTGGTTATAAAAAATACCACTCCCAGGGCAAAT